AAATCAAACGAACTACATAAATGAAAATTGTATAACAAATATTTTTTCGATTGCAAAAACAAAAAAAAATCCAAATAATTTTGAAATTGCCCTATGTTTTGTGTTTTTTTTCAACCGCAAAACGAACGATCTTCTCAAATAAACGTTTTCCAAAAAAAATTGTTTTAATTTTTAAATGTGCATAACGTATTCCTGGATACACAAAAGAAAGATAGATATTTAATTTTTTGTGTTCATACCGTATTCCTGGATACACAAACGTTAGATACAAATTTCTCTACAAAAGTTTTCGAAACTTCGATTTCGCTTGCATGGCATGTTTAGCATGCCTTGATCAATGTCTGATTAAGTGAAAATTCAAATTTAAAAAGATCCATTTCAAAAATGTTTGCCAAAATTTAAAACATTGAAAGGTTCAGTATATCATTTGTGTGAGACAATTCTTGGACAATTCAGGTTGTTTCCAATGCATTATTATTGCAAAACGATCAAAACATTGGTGACTCTAGTTTTGGGTAAACCATGGTTTTTGTCACTAGTGTTCGGTTACAAACACAACCCAAATGTTTTGAATTTTTTTTCTGTACTTATGGAATTGCATGAAAAGTGTATGGTTAATATCTTTCCATATATAAAAATTGTATGAGTAGCGTTTTGTTCAACCCGGGTATTTTTATCCAAATTAGCTGAACACCTTTCGAACCCTTTAGTTTTTCAACAACCAATTACAGATTATTTATCTTTTTAGATTTGAACCCGGATTATCAATAGCTAGATGAAACGGAACAAGACTGCTTGTATCAGGGCAAAACCCTGAATCTACCGACTGTCCATAAACTGGTCTCAAATAGCTCTTTGTTATTGAAGTATTAGCAAACTATGATTTTGAGCTGAATATAAAGAATGGTGTATGGAATTCATACGACCAATTAGCCTGCTTCAATTGAGTTTGGAACAATTTTGCGGTGCAAGTTAATTCGCCGCGCGTAAATGTAACTTTATTACTAAGCGTTTCACAGCAATCTAAATGTCACGATAGTATAGTGATCGATCCCCCCCCCCGAGTAACAAAAGATAGTTAAGCAACTTTAGTAGTTTTACGACAGGTAGTTTTACGACAAGTAGTTAAGCGACAAGTAGTTTTAAATTTTTTCTTGAGCGAACAAAAACTCAAATGAGAGCATACGGGCAGGAACTGACATGCTTTGAAGGTGCCGATTTTGATGACTCAGAAGCAATTCAAAGTCTTATTATTCAGAATTTTGAACTACAGCAGACTACCCGCAGCCATGTTCCATGGATATTTGTGGTCAAAAATTTTACCATTTTAACCCATTATAATTACACTTTGGGACCTCGCAATTGATTATAATTCATTACAATCCCTTATTTTTTGAAAAATTGAATCGATTATAATCCACTTTAAATCCATTATAAAGGATTATAATGGATTATAATCTCTACAAAATTTCCCAAAATTTCTGCAAAACGTGCAGCTTTTTCTGCATTACTCACAGCTTACTGGGTCTCCAAATCTTACCATAAATACCCGGGTTGACCTCCATAAACCAAAAATGCTTATCATACAATTTCATACATCAAAAGCATGGAGAAATGCTAATCATACAATTTTCATACAATTTTAAAAACTATAGAAAAAAAATTCGAACTAGTTTCTGCGGCTATTTGAACCAAATAAAACAGTCTGATGAAGAAAAAAAACTGTTTCTTTTTAGAAAAAAATGGTTATCATACAATTTCCATATATGAAAATTGTACGACTAGCCTTTTTGATGGCGACAAGTAAAATTGAAATTGCCCCAAAATTTGTACAAAATTGTATGATAAACATTTTTTCATAAATGAAAATTATAGAAGCATTTTTGGTCAACCTGGTTAATTAATTTTTGGGTTCTCTTCAATTTTTACGCACAAGTTGAAGATGCACAAGTTTACACCCATCCCCCTGATATACACACCTACCCCACTCCCACCTATTCCATTCCATCTATCCTCAGCCCCCCAGGTTAGTCCCGTCTCCTATTTGGGCAACCGAAAAAAAATAGTTTTCAACTCTATTACTTTTAGCAGTCTCTGGCGCAAATAAGTTCATTTGCATTTTGAGCTGGATAGGCGAGCATTCAAAACTGTCAGTTGGGTTCATTTTCTCAAAACTTCCAAGTTCTCGAAAAACCTTATTCCAAATTTCGACCTCCAGCTATTGTAAATAAGATAAGTTGACAACTTAAGAGTTCTCCAGCAGTGTTCTTTTAACTAAAGTTAGTTGCACAAAGACTTTCAACCACATTTTATTGCCATTACAAATTACAGTGATTAACATCCCAGATTAACACCAGATTAAGATTAACATCCGATTATCGAAAACAATTTCATTCAAAATATTACAACTGGAAATCGTGGATATGTGAGCAGCAAGTATTAAAGGTTTAAAACATCAGAAAATTGTTTCATACTCATATTTCCTTATAAATTAGCCAGAAGGTATAAACTTCCGGTATCCGGTAGAAAAAAGCAGAGTCGAATCAATTGAATTTCAAAAAGAATAGTTTTCCAACTCAATTTCATTCGATAATAATTATGAGGATTCTCTTTATATAGTTCCGAGTAATGAATCACGACCTTTAAAGTGTGAAAAATTTAATGTGAAACGAATTCAAAAAAAAACATGGAACAAATTGAACAAAGTAACAAAAAGCATAAGTTTGAGCGGGTGGTTGTTGCTTTGATTGTCGAAGGTTGTTGCTTTGATTGTTGACATTGTAGTATTCTTACACAGGAAAATACCAGCAAGAAGTTGAATGAAATTCGAAGTTGTCTCTTGAAACTTCTGTTCTTGCTCTATGCCTTTAATAATCACTGCCTTTTCGTTTTTTTTCTAAATTAATTTTACGATTCTGTTTAACTTTACGAGCGCCAAGATTTGTGTTTTTTGGACAAAACTTTTGAACAAGTGCCCGCAAAAAGCCAGTTCCACAGTTTTTCAAAAATTTCGGAAGTCAATGACTGAAAAAAACTGAAATTTCGCACCTTGTGAACAATAAGATTCAATGCAAAGGTTTGTTCAAAGCACGGAAGTTATGCAGACAATTAGTCGTTTAATTTTCGGAGAAAGCAGGGGAACATGCCTCGAGCTTCGCGCGGTTTCTGGTAATTTTGGTAAGGACAAGGGCGGATCTAGGATTTTCTTGAGGGGGGGGGTGCGGATTTTCAAAAAATTTTCGAAATTTTGTCGACTTTTTTTCTAGGTCGACCAAATTGGTATTTCCGAACTCTCTCAAATCTATAAATAGTCCCTGTTTTGGCCAAAATTTCTGCGCCGCAGGCAAAACTGTGAAAAAAAAACAGGCCAAAAAGGCGTTTTTAGGCACTTTTTGGAAAACTTTTAACTGAAAATTCGCGTTTTTTGGCGCGCGCTCCCACTTAAAATAAGTATATATTGGCGCCGCGGGCGCCTTTAGAAAAGTTTTAGGATCCGTCAGCCAAAATTGGATATGTGTAAATAGTTCAAAGGAGAACCTTTGGGTCAGTAAGGGGTCGAATCCCTGAGGGGTCTACCTTTGGGTCGGTAAGGGGTCGACGCCTTATTTTTGTGTTGCAGGAGGATCATCAAATCATCAAATAACTAAGCCTTACTAATTTTCAGACAATGTATAAACTTCCGACAAAAATTAATAGTTTAGAAGACAAAATTTTTCTGATTAAAAGCAACCTTAAGCAACCTTAGCATTTAATATTCCATAATTTTCCCTAAAAATGTTTTAAAAATGAGATCAATGTCATTAATTATTAATTTCTGCAAACTACCTTTATTTAATTTTCAGTGATTTACACGATTTAACGTCCAAACCTACAAAATGCGGAGAGTTGAAAGGAATTTTGGATTCAGGTCATTTTTCCAGCCAATTTGACCACCTCGACGAAAAACTTTGTAGGGGGGTAAATTGCAGTACCAGATTGAAGCCCTATAGTTTTTGAATTTGAAAAACAAAAATGAAAAAATTATCCGTGTCGAAAAAAAACTGTCCAGAAGTTTAGCTTTTCAGACTGAATTTTCCAAGTCGAAATTGTTTTGATATGCAGATCCAGTTTCTAGTTTTTCTAGACAATTATTTAGTTATTTTACGAGGGGTGGGAAGCTAGAAAAAAGCCGGCCATTTCCTGTCAAAAATCACAATGGAAAAAAATCCTTACATCACATGTCATAACTGTTTTTCTTATAACAGAGGGAAGAATATTACAAACTGTCGGTTATAAAGAAGATATTTCATTTTTTTACTCAGATGAGACCTTCTGTCTTTCATTTTTTGTTCCAACCAAACCCCGATTCTACCCTTGGTAGGGAGGAAAAACAATGGCTTGGTAGCTCAAATTACCCCCCATGGAAACCTAAACCTTATGGTAGTGGTCATCTGGTAATATGTTAGAGTCCTTTGCAGAACTGGATCGGATTCCGAAAGACTTGATTCTGCTTTTTTCACTTCTAAGTAATATAGTCACTTCAACTCCGACCTTAAACTTTCAAACCTGGAATCAAGAAAACCTGGTTAAAAGTGGCGGTTTTAAATAGGAAAGTGTTACAAGGAGTAAATAGAGTAAAATGCGGTGAGGAGTTCGCTACTTAAAATACTCGTAACGAGAAAAGGACGAGCAGAAATGAAAAAGACCACTAAGTCGCAAAATTTCCGCCGTTTTCAGCTCTGTCTAATTAGCTTCAATTAAAAAACTGCTAGGATCTTGTTGACTATGGGGGGGGGGGGGCTAGTTAACAAGATCCAACTGCTACAGCAACAGTAATACGACAACTCGTAATAAAAGTCAACTCGCATTAAAAAACAACTCGGAATATACTCACCGCCGCAGTCGCGCCAAACTGCAACGAGCTTGCCAACAGATGGTAGGATTTTATCGAACATTTAGAGCGACCTTCAACCGAAACTCCTAAATTTCAAGGTGATTTTCAAATTTTGAGAGCTGTCGTTTTCCTTAATTTTTGCCAATTTTGAGTTGTTTTTTGTTACGAGTTGTTTTTTGTTTCGGGTTGTCGCGGTTTCTAACAACAACATTCGCAACATTTGGTCAAAGTGAAGGTTTTAAATTAATGAACAGTTATTTAGGGTTGATTTGACATAAAGAGGGTTGTTTGTTGTTTCTAATTATAAAAAGTTAGTTCTTCTCACTGTAGATGACAGCTGACTTTTCGCTCCACTTTCTTGTGGCTTCTTTTGAAGCTTCCGCCTCGAACAATGGGGAGAGATGACGTCTTGGCCACTGGCTTCTTCCCCCCTGTCGCATTCATATTGTTCTCAACTTTTTCCAGATTGGGAAGTCCGGGGATTTGGACTTTCTTGAGGATTTCGTTGAACAGTTTGCGGACGGAGCGGTCGGATTTGGCAGACATGGCGACGAAGCCGTAGTTGGACTCGAAGCATGTGTAGAAGTCGGCAGCTTTGGCGTCCACTGTGTGGCTCGGCAGGTCCATTTTATTAGCTATGACCACTATGGGGGTCTAAAGTTAAATGTACACTTCGTAAAATGATTAAGTTTTACAGACGTGATCGAAGATTTAAAAAAAACGACGAACTCTTTTCCTTATTTCACATTTCTATTTTTATGCGTGAGCCAAAAGTGACATTAAGAAAAGAGACAAATCTGAAAGGTATTGTCAAGCTAACAGGCATATTTGTATGTAAGGTGGGCTATAGTTGATGATACCTGGTCGTCGTTTTTGATGGCGAGTACTTCGTCTCTGTACTGTTTGACTCGCTCGTACGAGTGTCTGTCGTCCACCGAGAACACAATCAGCACCACCTGTGCCTTCTCTATGGCCAACTGACGCATGGCCGGGAAGTCACTACTGCCGGAAGTGTCCATGAATGTAACCTCCACCTCCGTATCTGAACAGAAAAAGAACAATTTTGGAGATAGTAATAATAATCATATTGATTATAATAATCATAATAATGATCTGATCATAATCATAATAGTAATAATCAAAATAATCATAATCATAATAATCATAAACACAAAATTATTCATAATCATAATCATAATAACAATAATCAAAATACTAATCATAATAATCATCATAATACTCATTATAATCATAATGATCATAATCATAATAATTATAATACTAATCATAATCAGTAGCGGATTAAGGGGGGCGGACGCCCCCCCCCCCTCAGGGATTTGACCCCTGCCGATCCAGAAGGTCCCCTCTTTGTACTATTTTGAGATATCCATTTTTCGCTGACTGACCC